TGCAGGAGCCAGATAAACCTGGAGAGGGATATGATGACCCTCCTTCTTGAAAACAGATAGTCCCCCAAGGGCTCACAAAGCAAGGGTGAGCTAGAATAAGGGGAAATGTTGTAGGGTTAATTAGTTTTGTATAGATCTGTGTATTTCTCACATGATTAAATAAAGATGTGTAATGTGCTAGAACTCTGAATAAAGTGTCTGTGTGAGTGAATTAAAAGTTACCATAGAAATCTAAAACTGGTTAAGATGGAAAATTATGAAATGTTGGGTGAAATAATGAAAGACTCTTACTCTCTCCTTTAGACTGTAGAACCAATATGTTTATTCTGCTTGAGAAGGACAGAACGGGACTGGAAGCACACACATGCTTAACATTTTCTTTCCAGTGAGTTTCAAGCCAGCTGATGCATATGACATACCAAGTATTACAAGTGAAACTCCACTTTGAAATTCTTCTGTCGAGTTCTGCCTCTTCATCTCCTTGATGATGGACACAGGCTGAAGAAACAACACTACAAAACTGAAAGGAATGTCTTGGGAAACAACAAAGAGTGGTAAGAGGAATCAGATCCTTCTGCAATAAAATAAAATGGGTCTTAAAGCTATCTGGAAATACCAAGTGAGTTATTCACTTTTCATTTACGTGTTCTAGTACCACAATGATGGCAGCCATAGAAATTTCTATATGGGACAGATTAGTTTAGATTTAACTATACCTCTTTTAGCAGGTGAATGAAAAAGCATCAGTCCTCCAAATCATTTCTAATGGCAGAAGCAGAATTTTTCCAGAATCCTGCTCGGTGAGTAAGCCAGCGGATCTACAAGTCAAATAGCCTACGGCCCTAGTTACTTGGAAGAAAAGTCTAACAACTCAACCTGTTGCCCAATCGTAAGTGGCCTAATAATGAACTAGACGGAAGTGACAGAAAAAGGGACTGCATGGGATTCTTGTGGTGTCTCAGACTCGAAGGGGCCAATAACCCGGGAGGCTAATTGAAATCTTGAATAGAGAGCTGCTCCCTAGATAATGTACCAAGAGGCATCACAAACTAGGAAACAGAAGACTAAGGAAGTAGGAACACTTCACCAGAAGGAAGAGGACCAGACCATCTTTGATCCAGTTGAATCGTTCAGAGGAAAGTCTGACTGGCCAAGTAGGTCAGAAAACAGGCACCAATATTGATTAAACCATGGAAAGGGTAAATAAGATCTTCCCCTAGATGGAAATGAAGCTGTGCTACAGAATGGCTTTCTGAACTTACTTCAAATTGATAGGCAGAGAAACCACATCAGGAGATCATGCAGATAGTGAAACAGCTCAATGGCCCTTTTCCCAACAGACATATAAAATGCAAATGAGGGGCTGAAATATGGTAATCACATACTACACATGTCTGAGGCCTACATAAAACAGAGGACCAAATGAGATATGTGGATAAGGACAAGGAAATCAATCTGATTCAACACAAGAAATCCCACCCCCACTCCATCCCAAGTTTGGGCATTTACACTGCAATTTTATAGCCCTGCAGTCCCATAAGCCTGTGTCAGCTGACATGGACCAGACGCAGGTGTTCTACTGCAGTGTAGAAATACCCTGGGGAACCAAGACTAAAAGCCCAAGTCCTGCTGAAATCATAGGGTCTTCATAGCTGTCCTGTTGTATATAAGAGTCTGTATAGCTAACCCTAGTGCCTCCCTGAGTGACAATTTCTGGTAAGTGATAGGAGTAGGAGTAAGTAGTACAGAAAGGAGGACTACGTTGTGTATCCCAACGACTCATGCCTCCCCACTGAGCCTGATTAAACCACATATGTTGTGAGTCATTCCTGCGCTAGGCTCCAGGCAATCCATAAACCAGGAGTTGTTCTGATGACTCTCAGGGAAGGTATATAAGCCTCAAAGGAGAAACAACAGCTCAGTCTGCTCAACATCATTTCTCCCCTGCCTGATAGTGGTGACAGATTCCACAAGTCTTAGCTTGCTCCAGCCTTGCTCTTTCTCCAGGCCTGTTCCCAGTCCTGCTCCAGCCTTGTTCTTACTCCAGCCTTATTTTAACCCAGCTCTGAATTCCTGATTCCGGCTCTGACCCCTGGCTCCTACCTAAAAGCCTGACTTCCACAGCTCTGACCACCACATCCCTATCACGGTTTCTGACACTTAAGACAAATTTAGATTTACTAATCTACTTCTGGGCATCTTAAGAACCTGTGAAACCTCTTCTGCCCTTATTGCAGTATGCACTAAGGGTTGTTTCTGTGATCTTATTCTGGAATCTGACAAGACCTGACCCTGGACTGGAAATATTTTCTTTGGAGTTTAAAGTTTGTTGCCAGTAGAAGCACCAAGTGTTTACACTGTAAACACAGAAATTAATAAGATCACAAGAAAGAAATAATTACGGATCCAAAGCAGCGGTGAACATGGGGGCAATCTTAGGGCTTGTAAAGGTGGAAACATTGGGCCACCGCAAAGCTATTCGTACCAAAAGCAACATTAGAAAAAGAGGTGGGGCCAGATCCAGGGCTGTGTAAGGATAAGGCAGCACCTCTTCAGAAGAAGATATGCTACTATGATAGTGTTATGGACTGACTCTCAATGGGTGGAAGCAGAAGCTGCCATCACAGATTCTCCATACTCAATGAATTCCCTACCTAATCAATTCTCTGTTATATGTACAGATCTGAAAAGGAGATACAGGGAAATTTGTGGCTGGACAGGGCATGCTGGGCTAATCTGGTAGAGCAGCCAAAGGAGTAGAGACAGGAGAGACTGGATTGCATGCACCAATGCTATAGATAGGAGTTTGGAGCCAGGTAGGGCCCTGGGCGGGGGGATGGAGGGTGGACGGGACACGAGAGAAGAAAGTTAAAAATAGGAACAATTTAATTGATCATTTGAAATTGTAGCCTTCTCCAAGCTCCTTCCAATATATAGGATCACAAATGTTCACTAAAAATTGTAACTGTAACACTTCTTCCTTTCACGATGTAGCTGACACAAATTGAATTTTCAGTGAAATGTACTGTACCAATAACTAAATTTCAGCACTTTTTCCAATCCACTTTTGAACAAGTCAGATAGATCAAATAAGGTACTGATGTAAAAAAAAAAAAAAAAAATCTCAAACAGCATTCTAAAGCAAGACAGCTAAAATGGACACAGTTAAAATGTAAGTGTGATAAATTGCGTCCCACACTTCATTGATTATATGGTGTTTACATTCTGAGAAACCTGCTGTGTGTAGCCATTGTGGAACTACTTTTCACCCTTGAAAATGATGACAAATATCGAGAGTCATCACCAGTACACCAGTGGTAAGACAAGTAAAAAAACCCCGAGAAAAGTAGTAACCTAAATCTTGAAAGACAGAGGTTATGACTGTGCCACCCATCATCTTCCACCCATCACCCATCTTCCACCCATTTCATACCACAATGAAATGACCTTGGTAAGTTCTGTAGCCCATATACAAACAATTTATTTATTTCTGCCTTCAAAAAAAGTCAACCTATGTCTGATTTTTATCTGCAATGATCTATTTGACTGACCATATTGTCCCAGCATGTGTAAAATAATTGCACATTTCATTTAGACTTGAGCAGTAGGATTAAGAGCTCATCTACACAGGGATATGCAGGAAAATTAATCCAAATTAACTAAAGGTGTGAATTTAAACTAGATGAAAAAAACTGCATTAAACCCCTGTGTGGACACACTCATTTAGAATCAAAGTGGCCTTAATTAGGTTTAGTTTAAGAGTAAGCTAACAATTTTTGTAAGGTTGGTAATTATCCTAAAAAATAATCTACCACTGGAAATAGCAATCCATTCTACTATCTGTACGGCAGAGTCAGAAATCAGAACCATGAGAAAAAGGGGTTACTGGAGAACTGGTTCTACAGCCTTATCAGTTGTTGCAAATGGACTGCTATATTGCTACTAAGCATTGTGACAAATACTGACAAAACCCAAGAAATTCAATATTTCAGTTGAAATTTGGTCCTTGACTCATCCTATTATTCCTAGACAGAGTCTGTGATCAGTGCGTAGTATTTCATGGCTGTAAAGTATGTTTGCTACATTTAGGGTGACCAGATGCTAAATCCAAAATATCAGGACCGTCGCAGGGGGAGCGCCTTTTCAATGGCTACACTCACCCGGCACGTTCGGCGGCGGGAAATAAATCTTGCCACCGAAGGAAGAAGTACCCACCGCCGAAATGCCGCCGAAGCCCGTCAGCGTCTGAAGTACCCGCCACTGAAGTGCCGCCGAAGCCCGTCAGCGGGTCACCCTAGCTACATTTAATAGCTATATAGTCACAGAGATATGATACAAAAACTGTCAAAATGGAGACCTAAGTATCATTAAAGCTCACAATGGGCACTCAGATACATGCATACAATAACTTCAGACATCAATGGGAGTAATGAGAAGAGTGTATACTTGAAGGCAGGTTTTGTTCCTAACAATCTTTTCCTTATATCAGATCCCTTTTTAACTTAATAAGTTACTTTTGTCAGTTTAAAATCAGGCCTCCACTCCACTGTAGCTTTTCAGAATGCACTTTTAGTTAAATATATAAAAGATGAGGAATACACAGTAAAAAGATACAGTACTGAAAGCCCACTTAAAACAAGAAGAGAGGGTTTCATTTCCATAAAATAAACCACTATCTTCTTAAATATACTTACCTCAGGGCAGAGTGGTATAAGAAACCACTAAGTAGTATAATAAAGGGAAGTTATAGAAAATAATTTTAATAAAAACACACAAGTCTTCCTGATAGAAAAGTTATTGGAATGTACACAAGCAAATGAAGATTTCTTTTTTTTTTTTTTTAGAAAGAACACCATTTAAAATCCTTTATGGTTTACAATGTTTTTTCCCTCCTCCTCGCTACAAGATTCAAAGGAGTGCACACCAGGCCTAGACAAAAATGAAATTGAATTCCCTAGGCAGTGCTGAATATTTTATAAGTAAGTTTGGAAGATGCTTACCCGGTATTGATGGAAATGATTTCTATCAGTGGGTTCTTCCTAATCTTTGGCAAATCCAATCGAGCTCCCCCCAACCGTTTTCCATTATCTTTTTTCTGACCCAGCAGTCTCACAGAGTGACCTTCAAATGAAGCACAAAAATACAGTACATATTAAACATGAATCCCATTACTTTACTTTAATTTATTGTTTTACACATATCAAGGGTCTGCATTTAAAAAAATAAAACTGAAAAATGAAAAGAAAAAGTAATCATTTGCCCACCAACAGAGTAATGTATAAAGGGACATGAACAGTTAAAATAAATCACATTAAAAATCTAATTTACTTTTCGCAGCCTATTCAATGAAAATAGCTTCACTTTCATGTTCTCATGCACTAGCAACACATGGCAATGCTTCAGCTGTAAGCATGGCAGGGTTTTACACTATTTCTACATTTTTAAAAATATGAATAGAAATTCATTTTTAAAAATAATTAACTAAATTTTAATTAATTGTTCTTAAATTTTATTACAGTGGTTTTCAACTTTTTTTCTTTTGCAGACCCCTACAAAATTTCAAATGGAGATGTGAACCCCTTTGGGAATCTTAGTCATAGTCAGACCTCGGGTTGAAAACCACTGGCTTATTACATAACAGAACCTAAATTTGGGATCTAATTTATTATGGTTGTGTCAATTTGCACAAAAATGCTTACTAAATCTCCATTGGCAGGGTGACAATATGTTGTACGGTCTCTCAGATGAGAGCCCCCAGGTCAGAGAATGAACTTCATCATAACTTACTTCCTAAGGCCAGTGGAGCACAAGGAGCGCTGTCTACAAGTGATATTTTCATGCTGCATGCAGATGTGTATCAGCTACACCACTGTCTCCACATCCCCTGTCTATGGACTTACAAAGCACACATGCCAGCGGTTCACTCACCTTCAGAAGCAAAATATTGCAATGAAGAGCACAAACAATGTCTTTATAATAGCCAGAGGTTGGGTGTAATACCCCACAGTGACAAACAGGAGAATACTTAAGCGCAATATCTTACAAGAATGTAAAGCAAATAAAACTCATGGCTGGATATCTGATAGAGATGGAAAGAGGCTTGGCTGGACATCTGATAGAGGTGGGAAAAGGTTACTAGTAAAAAAAAAAATAAAAATAAAATATTCTTCTAGGCTATTAGAATCATCTTCTTCAGTAGAAGATGGGGAAAGGTGGGAAGCTCTTCTTTGATAATGTATGATACTTGGCATGAATATATTTTTTTAAATATACCATTACAAATATAAAACTACCCTCAGGAGAAAAAAGAAAAGCATTAAATAAACAATGAAGTAGCAACTGAACTAAGTCCAAATTGCTTCAGTGAAATGGATTTCAAGTTCAACTCAAATAAAAAACAAGGTCCAAGCAAGTTTGCTCATTCCTACTATACCAATAGCTCCGCCTAGAAAATTAAATAATCCATCCATTAATCATGATGTCTCTTCTCAAAGGGTTTTCATCAGACATTAAGAAATTTAAGAATAATGTAGCATTCATGCCGTGAATTCTTCCTATAATATGGCAACAGTAACTCACAGTCAAGCAGCTGCATTTGGCATACTATTCCTTTTCTAATTCTTAATATAAGTAAATTTTTTCAATCAAAAACTATTTAATGAAGAAGTGAGCAAGATTAGCATGATAATATAATAATTAATACTATAACAGGTATCAAAAGTTCAATGATACCTGAGAAAGGAATATTATTTTTGTACTAGCACATGACAGAAATTTCATTACATCCTGCTGTGAATTCAGTAATATGCTGCCTTTGCTAATAACATTTGCTAAATTATTCATCTCCACTATCCCATACAAATAGCAATATCTCTGTCTAATGATACAACTAGTTATTTTCCAATCCAATGGTTCATTAAGAAGTCACTAACCTACAAAATGCATTTTATATATTTTTAATAATAATGGAAGTATAGCAGTATGACATGAATAGAAATGAAACTGTGGGCAGTGTACCCCCTTTCTCTATTTCTTATAAATACTGTATCTCTGCAAAAATCTGAACTGAAGGAAAAAGTAACTTAGTGTGAACAAAGGATAGAGAGTTTACTGTTACAGTGGTTTATTTGGAATGGGTTATTTTTTCCAAGCAGAAATCAACAATAAATGGTCTTCCCAAACCATAAACACGAATTAAGACTAAAGGCAGTAAGTAGTGTAGATCATACATTTATAGCAATGTCATCAGAACAACATTCGAAAGATGGGAAATCAGGAGTTCAGTTTAAAGTAGGGCTGTCAACCAATTAAAAAAATTAATCGCGATTAGTCACGTGATTAAAAAAATAATTGCAATTAATTGCACTGTTAAACGATAGAATACCATTTATTTAAATATTTTTGGATGTTTTCTACATTTTCAAATATATTGATTTCAATTACAAAACAAAATAGAAAGTGTACAGTGCTCACTTTATATTTATTTTTATTACAAATATTTGCACTGTAAAAAACAAACGAAACAGTATATTTCAATTCACCTCATACAAGTACTACAGTGCATTCTCTTTATAATGAAAGTTGAACTTACAAATGTAGAATTATGTGCAAAAAATAACTGCATTCAAAAATAAAACAATGTAAAAGTACTAGCACCTACTTCAGCCAATCGCTCAGACAAACAAGTTTGGTTACAATTTGCAGGAGTTAATGCTGCCCATGTCTTGTTTACAGTGCAACTTGGAAGTGAGAACAGCCGTTCACATGGCACTGTTATAGCCGATATCGCAAGATATTTACATGCCAGATGCGCTAAAGATTCATATGTCTCTTCATGCTTCAACCACCATTCCAGAAGACATGTGTCCAAGCTGATGACGGGTTCTGCTCAATAACGATCCAAAGCAGAGCAGATCAACGCATGTTCATTTTCATCATCTGAGTCAGATGCCACCTGAAGAAGGTTGATTTTCTTTTTTGATGGTTCAGGTTCTGTAGTTTCTGCATCTGAGTGTTGCTCTTTTAAGACATCTGAAAGCATGCTCCATACCTCATTCCTCTCAGATTTTAAAAGGCACTTCAGATTCTTAAACCTTGGGTCGAGTGCTGTATCTATCCTTGTTTTGTTTTTGAGTGCAGTTATATAACAAATAAAAATCTACATTCGTAAGTTACACTTTCATGATAAAGAGATTGCATGCACTACAGTACTTGTATGAGGTGAACTGAAAAATGCTATTTCTTTTATTTTTACAGTGCAAATATTTGTAATAAAAACAATAATATAAAGGGAGCACTGCACACTTTGTATTCTGTGTTGTAACAGAAATCAATATATTTGAAAATGTAGAAAAACATCCAAAAATATTTAATAAATTTCAATTGGTGTTCTATTGTTTAACAGTGCGATTAATCATGATTAATTTTTTTGATCGCAGTTAATTTTTTTGAGTTAATCGCATGAGTTAACTGCGATTAATCGACAGCCCTAGTTTAAACCAAAGTTCTGAAGTAAAAAAAATTATGTCACGGAAGTCTAGAAAATTCCTGTTTTAATATATAAATCCTACCTCAGCCCCATTAGCACTATTTCCCATCTATCTTTCAGATGTGAGCCACACATCACTATGAGTATCAGAGAGAAAACTCAAGATATCTACATGTAAAGTACAACCCTGTTCACTAAGCAGGGGTTAGAACTGTGGCTCTCAATCTTTACAGGCTACTCTACCCCTTTCAGAAGTCTGATTTGTCTTGTGTACCCCCCAAGTTTTACCTCACTTAAAAACTACTTGCTTACAAAATCAGACATAAAAATACAAAAGTATCACAGCTTACTTTTGCATTTTTATCATATAATTATAAAATAAATCAATTGGAATATAAATATTGTAATTACATTTCAGTGTATAGCATATAGAGCAGCATAAACAAGTAATTGTATGAAAATTTTAGTTTGCACTGACTTTGCTAGTGCTTTTTATGTAATCCGTTGTAAAACTAGGCAAATATCTAAATGAGTTGATGTACTCCCTGGAAGACCTCTGTGTACCCTCAGGTGTACACATACCCCTGGTTGAGAACCACTGGGTTAGAAGACCTGACTCTCCTTTGCCTTCATGACACAGGCAAAGAGTCCACATGACCCTTCATGACACTGTCAAAGAAACAGCACTTTGATGCTTCATATATGCAAGAAGGAAGGCAACTTCTTTCATGTGACAACTTTCAGAAGTCCCCCAGCAATAAGAACAGGATAAGCAAAGGTAAAGGGACCAGTGTTAAGACTGATACTATAATTTAGTATTTACAAAAAGAAAAGGAGTACTTGTGGCACCTTAGAGACTAACCAATTTATTTGAGCATGAGCTTTCGTGAGCTACAGCTCACTTCATCAGATGTTTACCGTGGAAACTGCAGCAGACTTTATATACACACAGAAATCATGAAACAATACCTCCTCCCACCCCACTGGCCTGCTGGTACCAGCAGGCCAGTGGGGTGGGAGGAGGTATTGTTTCATGATTTCTGTGTGTATATAAAGTCTGCTGCAGTTTCCACGGTAAACATCTGATGAAGTGAGCTGTAGCTCACGAAAGCTCATGCTCAAATAAATTGGTTAGTCTCTAAGGTGCCACAAGTACTCCTTTTCTTTTTGCGAATACAGACTAACACGGCTGTTCCTCTGAAACTTAGTATTTACAGAATGCCTGTACTTTTGTAAAGGGAGTCCTCAGACTTACGACACAATTCATTCCTCAAAATCGCATTGTAAGTCGAAACATTGTAAATCAAAACCGCTTTTCCCATAGGAATAAATGGTATAAAGGGGGGATTGGTTCCTGAACCAAGCCTTGATACACTATTTTCACCAGAATAACCCAGATTTTTCTACTAAATGCATTATAGATGACTAATGTTGCAACATCAATGTATTTACTGTACATTGCATTTTGTAAACAGCATTCAAATAAACATAAAAACTCCCATATACTGCTCAGAATGCCAGCAATACAGGCTCAGAAAGCCAGGGAGAACGGCACAAATGCTGAACCTCAGCCAATCACTGTTCAAGCTTTCTGACTGGCTGAGCCCAGGGCTGGGAGCCAATCAAAAATAAG